AGCACCAACATAAAGAAGAATTTACATCAACGAATAGATCAAACATCCAGTTAACATCAAATGGCAGTAACCCTAAATTTAAATCAACTAAATCCCCCAATCAAAAGACACAGCCAAAACCCAATGGCATGTTACATCCAGACCTGTTTCACATGCAAGGATACACAAAGACTCAAAACAAAGGGATGGAGAAAGATTTACCAACCTAATGGAGAGCAAAAATAAATAACTAACTAAATAAAAAGCAGGCGTTGCAATTCTCATATCGGATAAAATAGATTTTAATGCAACAAACATATAGTGGTAAAAGGATCAATGCAACAACAAGAGTTAATGATCCTAACACCCAAATATATACAGAGACTTAGATTCAATGAGACCAAAAATTAATAAGGATATCAAGGACTCGAACTCAGATCCGGAACAAGTAAACTTAATAAATATTTATAGAGCTCTCCACTTCAAATACACAAAATATACATTCTTGTCAATACCACATCACACCTACTCATAGGTTTAAATGAAACATTTATTGGCCATTATTAATACCTATCTTTTTTCAGAATAAAGCAATATTTCCGTTCACCCTCCCTCTTTCTCTTCCTCTTTCTTCCTCTCCTTTACTCATTTTTTTTTCTTTCCTTCTCTCAAAAAAAAGGAATCAATTTGTAAACCTCTAGATCCAGGTCAGCAATGTCTCTCTCATTGCTTGATTTCTTCCTTCCCTTCCCTCCCTCCCTCCCTCCCCCCTTCCTCCCTTCCTTCCTTCCTTCCTTCCTTACTCCCTTCCTCCTTCCCTCCCTTCCTGCCTTCCTCCCTTCCTCCTTCCCTCCCTTCCTGCCTTCCTCCCTTCCTCCCAAAAAAAAAAAAAAAACTTCTTTTTCACTCTTACCTCTGTCACATATGGTTTAATTAAGAAGTTACAGTAAAATTGGTAATATGAAATTGCTACATTGCTTTCTTTGAAAATATGCCAAACTCTATATTGATTCTGTCAATGTATTTTTTCCAAGGCTTCATATATTTATGTTTTGTTTCATCATACAGAAAATCTGTACCTTGGTCCAAATGAGGACTTGCCACAAATTCTATTACAAAATATCAAACTGCCAAATACTCGCACTGGGAAGCTGCAAATACTATCAAACTACAAACACAAACAAAACTTTTAAAGGAAATTCTCCTTACAGTCTTATAGGTACATTTTTCCTTTGTCTTCTTGACTGGAATTGCCTTTTCACTAATACCCCTTCTCCTTACGATGTTTTAATCCTTCAGGATATTATTCAGGAAAATTTTCCTGAACTAGCAAAGCAGGTCAATATTCAACCCCAGGTAATACAGAGAACACCACAAAGATATTCCTCAAGAAGAGCAACCCCAAGGCACATAATCGTTAGATTCACCAGGGTTGAAACTAAGATATCTTTCTGGGCTCAGTGTAGATAGTAATTCTTACATGAAGTCTTCTTGACCCCCTTAAATTACAGCAACTTCTCCTTTTAAATCTCCTAAAGATAACATTTCCCACTGTTTATCTAAACTTAAATATAAGTTTATTTAACAGTATTAAAGGTTTTAAAACATTCTTTTAAAATGTTAGTCCTTACTTGAAAAATATGTATTTTTTTCACCTTTTGGTTAAATGACTGATACTTATGTTAGTAGAAACAAATTTTGCTCATATGTAAAGGTATAATGTACAAGATAAAAGTATGGTATGTTAAGCAATTTAACAACTGCTTTGAAAGCATGAAATGGCTACATGAAACTAAATCACAATTTCTCAAGGAGAGTATATAAGGAGAATGGTAACCTACAATAAAACTATGAAGAAAATGTGTTAGAAAGTTGAAAATATATATCATACAATTATATTATACAATGAGGACATCCACAGAATCACAATTACCAAAACTGAAAACATTACATACTGTTGAGACATTTACCATTAGTTTTCTGATTGTGTCAAGTAAGTAGTATAAACCCAAATGCATATGAAGGGGAAAAAAATTTGGTACATACTTGTGACAAAGAATTTCTTTGTGAAAGTACAGCTATCAAAGGCAGCAATTTTCTCCTGCAAGACTACGACAAGAATCCTAAAATTAGACAGAAAAAAAAAAAGAAAGAAAAGAAGTGAATGTGAAATTCAATAAGTGGAATCAGAAATGCATTACATCATCTAGATGAAAACAAATGCCTATTAATGCTATTAAACATTTAACATTAAAACATTTAAAATTAAACATTTCCTATAATATTTAGGCTAGGAACTTCTGCCTCTTAAAATGTAAAAATATAAACCAAAAAAATCCTATATATAAGTAAGACAGAGATGAGAAGAAGAAAAGTCATGAAAGAAAAAACTACAACCTCAAAAAAAGTTTGTCTTTTAATAAAGTTTTGTTTTGGCCAGGCATAGTGGCTCATGCCTATAATCCCAAAATTCCTGGAGGCAGAGGCAGGAGGATCACTTGAGGCCAGGAGGTCAAGACCAGCCTGGGCAACATAGGAAGACCCTGTCTCTATAAAAAATAAAAATAAAATAAATTAAACACGTGTGGTGGTGTGAGCCTGTAGTCCTAGCTACTCCAGAGGCTGAAGCAGGAGGATCACTTGAGCCCAGGAGGTCAAGACTGCAGGAAGCTATGATTGTACTACTGCACTCTAGTCTGGGCAAGATCTCGTCTCTAAAAATATAAATATATAAAATAAAGTTTTGTTTTCATTTATTTTTGAATCGAGTAAGTCTACATTAAGAACGGATGAAATTAAGCACAGCACAGTGTTGCACGAGTGTGATCCCAGCTACTCAGGAGGCTAAGGCAGGAGGATCACCTGAGCCCAGGAGATTGAGGACCAACCTGGGCAACATAGTGAGGCGTTGGCTCAAAAAGAAATGGAAAAAAAAAAGAATAAGAAAGATAGTAAATTGTTGGCTATCTACTAAATGTGTTTCCCAGTGATGTTTTAGTCATGGTATTAAACATAAAATGGATTTATATAACCTATCACTTTAAGTCTAAATGGCTGATGAATTTCCCAACACATATAAATCTAAGACAACTGCTACTCAGTGTAAACAAGTCATTTCTGATGAGTCAATATAGTAAAATTCACTAAGAATCTGTAAAAGCAGTATTTTTCCCAATGCCCAAGATTTACAAATAATTAGAAAATAATTTAGTTATAAACACTTTATTAAAACAAAGTTTCTAAAATACATCCAAAACCACTACTTCATGTTGTGCTATTCCTTTCAGGACATTAATATAAATAGCCAAGCTTAATATTTACTTCAAAAAATTAAATAAAGATGATAATTGTTAATAAATATTTAACAAACTAATAGCTTATTTTTCAAACTTGGAGCTGGTAAATCTGGGCAACAGATGCTAATATAAGAAGAGAAAAAGAAAAATGTATTATTTAATATGCATGCTTTGTTAATTTTGTTCATTTTTTTATTGTATTTTAGTTTCTGGGGTACGCGTGCAGATTATGTAGGGTTGTTGCACAGGTACTTACATGGCAAGGTGGTTTGCTGCCTCCATCCCCCCCATCACCTATAACTGGCTTTTTCTCCCCATGTTATCCCTCCCCAACCTCCCCACCCCACACTGTCCTTCCCCCAGTGTCCCCCAACAGACCCCAGTGTGTGATGCTCCCCTCCCTGTGTCCAGGTGTTCTCATTGTTCAACACTGGCCTGTGAGTGAGAATATGCGGTGTTTGATTTTCTGTTCTTGTGTCGGTTTGCTGAGAATTATGGTTTCCAGAATCATCCATGTCCCTGCAAAGGACACGAACTCATCATTTTTTATGGCTGCATAGTATTCCATGGTGTACATGTGCCACATTTGCCTTGTCCAGTCTGTCATTGATGGGCATTTGGGTTGGTTCCAGGTCTTTGCTATTGTAAACAGTGCTGCAGTGAACATGCGTGTGCATGTGACTTTATGACAGAATGATTTATAATCCTTTGGGTATGTACCCAGTAATGGGATTGGTGGGTCAAATGAAATTTCCATTTCTAAATCCTTGAGAAATTGCCACTCCCAGGAGTGTAAATTAGTTCAACCATTGTGGAAGACACTGTGGCAGTTCTGTTCATTTTTAAAAGCAGAACTATTTAATTTACTGATGCAGAATAATTCTAATGAGTCATTACTGTTAAATCCTTGTGATTTTTTTTTTTCTAGCTGGGCCTGTTAAAAACTTTTCTAGGCCTGGCATGGTGGCTCACACCTGTAATCCCAACACTTCAGGAGGCCAAGGTGGGAAGATTTAGATGAGGTATCTAAGGGCTAATGATCAAGACATTTACCATCCTAGGGCTTCAGTTTGCTCAAATGGAAAAGGAAAGTGCTAAGTGATAGAAGAATCCTAAGGTTCCTTTCTCACCTAATGTTCTGTGATTAATTTGTCATTAGCCCTAGAGGTCAGATAGAAGTTCAAGATAGATTTGAATATTTTCCCAGCAACTAAATGAGATAAATGTTAAGGATAAAAATCAGTCTAGTCCCTATTTTAGTGCCATTGTGAAGTATGAAGGAATAAAAATATTTTAAAGCATTTTTTATAGTTCAGGAACATGATTTTCAAAAGTTTTGGTGGGTTCTCACAGCAAAATTACATTTCACATCATAAATCAGCATATCCATCATACATATAAAAAGCTGTATTAAAAGATTTCTCAAAACAATACTTAACTGTTTAAAGTTTGCTCTGATACTTTCTATTCGTTTCCATTTTGTTTTACAAATGCTCATTGTATTCCACTAAACTGAATTCACAGTTCCCTAATGGATCAAGACTACAAGTCTGAATACATTCATCAAGAAATTGTAGAGCTATTCCATCGAACAGAATTCAGAAGGTGTTTCCTTGAGATTTTTAAAAATAAATCTAAGTTAGTCATTGAAATTGGTAGAGTTCTCCATGCCAAGGAGAGCATGTTTCTTATTTGATACAAGAAACATATGAAAAAATCCTTACCGTTTATTGCAATGAAGATCATAAATAGGTGTCTTAAACTGAATGGACTTGACCATCTCCCCAGTACGAAGTGAATACAGATCCACACAACAGTATGGTGGGCTTGTGCTAAAAAAGAAAAATGTCATTATTTTTTAAAAGAAGACCAATAATCTCTACATTTTCTTATTAACATAATATTTGAACCTCTGATTAACAAGATATTAGTAAACTGATTGACAACTTACCCCAAAAATGATCATAATACATCCTTTATATTATGTCAACTTAGGAATGCAAAATTTGGCAAAGAAAAAATATCACCCACCAAATTAGTACTACATGGAAGAAAAATGATATGATTAGGCCAGGCGTGATCACTCATGCCTACAATCGCAGCAGTTTGGGAGGTTGAGGTGGGCAGATCACAAGGTCAGGAGTTCGAGACCAGCCTGGCCAACATGGTGGAACCCGGTCTCTACTTAAAAAAATACAAAAATTAGCCGGGTATGGTGGTGCATGCCTATAATCCCAGCTACAGAGAGGCTGAAGCGGGAGAATCGCTTGAACCCAGGAAGTGGAGGTTGAGGTCAGCCAAGATCATGCCACTACAATCCAGCCTGGACAATAGAGCAAGACTCCATCTCAAAAAAAAAAAAAAAAAGAAGAAGAAAAATGATATGATTACAACAATAGATACAGAAAATAATCTGATAAACTTCAAAGTCTAGTCATAAGAAACATTTCCTTAAAATGATAAAGGGTACCAACCTTAAAACTAACAAACAAAAGCTGGCAAACACCCATAAAATATGAAAAAGTTTGACCCTGAAAGCAGGATGTAGAAAAAAATGCTCATTATGATAATTTCTATTCAACATCGTATGCAACGTCTTATGCATAAGTCTAGAAAAGCAATTACTAGGAGGAAGAAATAAAGCTGTCATTATTTGCTAAAAACTTAATTGGGTAAAAGCCAAAAATACCAATCTGTATGTAGAAATATATGTCATCTGTGCATAAACACACACACACAGAGGCATTTTCACAATAAAGACAAACTGTTATATGGATTTATCAAGGTTACTAGATAAAAGTATAATATACAAACATCAGGTATATTTTAATAAATTGAGAACAATTAGTAAAATTTTAACCCTTGAGTATCTTGGAACAAATCTAAGGAAATATTTCTGACATATGTACACAAGAAATAAAATGGTTTAAAAAAATACCTATGTAAGCTGGGCATGGTGGCTCATGCCTGTAATCCCAGCACTTTGGGAGACGATGCAGGCAGATCACTTGAGCTCAGTAATTTCAGACCAGTCTGGCCAACATGGTGACACCCTGTCTCTACTTAAAAATATAAAAATTAACTGGGTGTGGTGGCAAGCACCTGTAATTCCAGCTACTAGGCAGGCTGAAGCAGAATTGCTTGAACCTGGGAGGTGGAGTTGCTGTGAGCCAAGATAGTGCACTCCAGCCTGGGAGAGACAGTGAAACTCTGTTTAAAAAAAAACTAAAACTAAAAAAAAACCTATGTAAAAGCAAATAACATGGCCTAAAAGACTCTAGATTGATAGTTTAAAACCTCATCAAAAATATACCAGAAGTGAGATCTCATTCTAGAACATATATGAAAATGCATTCCATATGATTAAGACTTATTGCAAAGATATAATAAAGAAAAAAACGTGTTCTAGACACAGGGATAGACAAAGAAACCAATGTTTCCAATTTAAGAAAGTTTTAAAAGAGGAACTAGTTAAATTCAGTAAAAGGAAATAAAAATGCAACAAGCACTTGATAAAATAAAATGAGTAAGCAATGAGGGGGAATCACTAAAGCTAAAATTTTGTTTTTTTAAAGATAACAAAATCAGTAACTCTAGTCAAAGTGTTAAAAAATCACAGAAGGAACAAATAAGTAACATAAAGAAAACAGGGAATATTCTGATAACACAGACAAATTCCTTAAAATGTACAAACTGCCATAACCAATCTACACAGGACAATTTGAATAGCCCAATATCTAAAAAGAAATTGAATTCATAACTTCTTATCAAGAAAATCCTCAAAAATGCCTTCATCTCTAAGCTCTATGGATTAATCAAACAAAAAACTTATACCTATCATACACAAACTCTTTCATAAGGTAGAAGAGTCACTTTCCAACATATTTTATAATGCACACATCCAAAAACTAAATAAATATATTGCAAGAAAATAAAAGATATGCTTGTATATCTATATGTCTCATAAATATATGTCCAAAACTCCTTAAGAAAATATTAGCAAATAAAATCCAGCAATATAAAACCAGGTGAAGTTTATTGTAGGAATGCAAGGCTGGTTTACTACAGAATATCTATTAATGTAATTCACCATATTCACAAGAAAAGGGGGGAAACCACTATGATTATTGCCACATTAGAAAGATACAGATGTGGCATTTTTAGGAATAAAAAGGCAACACCCTTTTCAGGAGACAAACACAGAACAAACCATAGTTAGAATTAGAACCTGATAAAATGCATCGACAAAAAAATCTGTAGATGTAAGAATACACACCTTCCCTGTAAGGTCCAGAACAAGGTAAAATTTTCTGAACTTATCACTCCTATTCAACATTGTATAAGAAATGTTACCCAGTGCAATAAGTACAGGCAAAAAGATCTAGACCATCTGGATTGTAAAGGTAGAACTAAAACCAACACAAACAACATTATCTATTTACAGATAACATTATCTACATAAAAAAAATCCCAAAGAATCTCTTTAAAAAGCTACTAGAATTTTACCAAGGTTGCAGAATTCAAGGTCTACATATAAAATCATATGTTTGTATAAAAATGAACAATTTGAAACTGAAAGTATCATTTGCAATAGCAAATACAAAATATGAAATTCTATGAAGTAGAAAATATGAAATAATTCTATATAAGTCTAACACAATACATGCATGATTCGTAAGCTAAAAACTATAAAATGCAGATAAAAGAAATCAAAGACCTATATAAATAATAGTAAATACATGTTCTTGGATTGGGAGTTATATTCTTAAGATGGCAAGTCTCCCCAAACTGAACTACGTATTTGTTTTATTTGTTTTGTTTTTATTATACCTTAAGGTCTGGGATACATGTGCAGAACGTGCAGGTTTGTTACACAGATATTCATGTGCCATGGTAATTTGCTGTACCATCAACCTATCATCTACATTAGGTATTTCTCCTAATGCTATCCCTCCCCTAGCCCCCCACCCCGATAGGCCCCAGTGTGTGATATCTCCCTCCCTGTGTCCATGTGTTCTCACTGTTCAACTCCCACTTATGAGTGAGAACATACAGTGTTTGGTTTTCTGTTCCTGTGTTAGTTTGCTGAGAATGATGGTTTCCAGCTTCATCCATGTCCCTGCAAAGGACATGAACTCATCCTTTTTATGGCTGCGTAGTATTCCATGGTATATATGTGCTACATTTTCTTTACCCAGGCTACCACTGATATGCATTTGGGTTGGTTCCAAGTCTTTGCTATTGTGAATAGTGCTGCAGTAAACATACGTGTGCTTGTGTTGTCATAGAAGAATGATTGATAATCATTCCGGCTGGCTGTGCGGAAGCTGTACATCAGGACCCGGCCATCAGCGCTGCCCGTCACCAGCAGGTCACCGCCTGGGGAACACTCGCAGCCCACTGAGTAGCCCTCCACCTTGTGCCCTTCATAGCGCCGCCGTCTGCTCATCCGGTAGGGCCACACAGTGGAGAAAAGGGCCAGGTAGTTGCCATTGGTCTGTGCCAGGAACACGGGTTCCCTGGGGTGCAAGGCGAGGCTGGGGCAGGTGAATCTCTCGAGGAAAATCTGATTAGAGATTTTGGCAGAGGTCCGGAAATCCCAGGCAATAATGGTGCGGTCAGCCGAGTCCCGGGTGGAAGCATCCGTGCTGCTCAGGAACTCAGAGCCTTCCGGGAGGAACAGGATGTCCAAGGTCTGCTGAATGGTGGCCTTGTAGCTTCTCATCACCTTGCTGGTCCTTATATCCCAAGCTTTCATTTCAGAGCTGAAGCCTCCACATAAAAAAATGTTGTGGTCTTTTGGATGGAATTTCAAGGTAGTGATTCTAAAGTCACTTCGACCACTAAATAGCTGGGTTCCTGTTTCAAGGTCTGTTAGATGCAGGGCGAAGTCAAAGCCACCACTGAGGATGCGCCGGCCACAGGGAGACCAGCGGGCGGCCCGCACTGCCTCTGTGTGCAGGGAGTAGGTCTGCAGGCAGTACCCAGAGTCCACAGCGTTCCATACCTTGAAAGTTTTATCCATAGAAGTGGAGAGAAGCATGTGGCTCTGAGAAAGCACTGGACACCACTGAACACTGTTGACAGGGCCCCTGTGGCCTCTCAGGTAGAAAAGCACTTTCTGGGGAACCGTGGTTTCTTTATAATGGCTGTTCAAATACGGCTGAATAAACTCAGACACTCTGGTATATACCCAGTAATGGGATTGTTGGGTAATCATAATCAAAATCCTACCAGGCCTTTTTAAACACAATGACAAGCCAACTTTAAAATCTTTTTGTAAATTAAGATAACATGATTATTATGTATGAGCATGCCTAATTTACGGCATATCACTTTACTGTGCTTCACAGAAACTGCATTTTTAATTAATTTATTTTTTTTTTTTTACAAATTTAAGGTTTGTGGGAACCCTGTGTCAATCAAGTTTACTGAAGCCATTTTTGCAACATCATGTGCTCAGTTAGCGTCTCTCCATCACATTTTGGTAATTCTCACAATACTTCAAACTCTTTCATTTATTATATCTGTTAGAATGATCTGTGATCAGTGATCTTTGACGTTACTATTGTAAACTGTTTTGGGGCATCACAAAGTGCACCCAGAGAAGACGGCAAATTTAATCAATAAATGTGTATGTTCTGGAGGTGCCACCTACCCAGTGTTCTCCTGTCTCTCTCCCTCTCCTCAGGCCTCCTTAATCACTGAGACACAGCAATATGGAAAGTAGACCAGTTAATAATCCTACAATAGACTCTAAGCATTCATTTGAAATAAAGAGTCGCACATCTCTCATTTCAAATCAAAGGCTAGAAATGATTAAGCTTAGTAAGGAAGACATGCTGAAAGCTGATACAGGCAGAAAACCAGACCTCTTGCACCACATAACTAAGTCATGAACACAAAGAAAAAATTATTGAAGGGAATTAAAAGTGCTGCTCCAGTGAACACATGAATGAGAAGAAAATGAAACAGGCTTACTGCCGATATGGAGAAAGTTTTCGTGATTTAGATAGAAGATTAAACACAACATTCCCTTAAGCCAAAGCCTAATCCAGAGCAAGGCCCTAATGTTACTCATTGCCTACATGACTTGGTTGGACTCCTACCCCATTTTTGTTGGCCAATGCAATGCCTATGTGACATGGCTAAATTCCTACTCAGCTTTAACTCCATTTATTTTTAGGAAACAGGATGTCTGTGGTCAGAAGTTCCTTTTTAGGTCTAAACCAGCTAAAGCTGATGAAATCTACAATGGCAGCTTACTTGACCTCTGAAGAACCTCTGGCTTCATTATAATCCAATTTCCATGCTAAGTGACACTCCCATCAGCACCATGACAGTTGACAATCACCACGACAATGACCAGAAAAGACCAGGAAAGCATAGAAAAGAGGTGCCTCCTTGATTCCAGGAAAATCTCCATCCCTTTCCAAGAAAAATATATTCCTCTCCTGGCTCTTAATGCCCAAACCCTTCATTAAAGATGCCCCATATCTGTAACTTCCAGGTTTCTCAGGAGCTAAGAAGTTACGCTAAGCTCCCACTTCTCCAATTCCAAGGCTACTGAATAAAGCCTGCACTGCCTCACTTTCAGTTTTGTGTATTGGTTTCATGACTCTGAACAGGAAAGAGCCCTTATGGGCTCTCTATCAGCAAAAAGATTATGATTCACTGAAGTATCAGATCATTACCATTTTTAGCAATAAAATATTTTGAAGATATACACATTGTTTTTTTTTTAAGACATAATGCTATTACACACTTAAGAGACTTTAGTATGGTTTAAACATACCTATTTCAGTTTTTTGTTTTAGATACAGGGTCTTACTCTGTCACCTGAACTGGAAGTCACTGTAACCTCTAATTCCTAGTCTCAAGCAATCCTCTAGCCTCAGCATCCTGAATAGCTAGGACTACAGTTGCACACCACCACATTTAGCCAATTCTTTTTTTTTTTTAAGACAGGGTCTTGCTTTGTTGCCCAAGCTGGTCTGAAACTCCTGGCTTCAAGCAAGCCTCCCACCTCACCTTAAAGTGCTGGAGTTACAGAAATGAGCCACTGTGCCTAGCCAAATATAATTTTTATGTGCACTAAAGAACCAAAAACTTCATGTTACTTGCCTTATTATGAAATTTGCTTTATTGGGGTCATCTTGAACTGAACCTACCCTATACAATATCTCTGAGGTACAGATATATACAAATGATTTACATGTATAAGACTTACAAAGCTACAATAATAAGGATGGTATAGTACTGGTATAGGTGTACACATATATTTCAAGAAAATGGAATAGCAAGTCGAGAAATAAACTCATGTTTGTATGGCCAACTGTTTTTCATCAAAGGTACAATATAACTAAATGATTAAAATATCATTTTTGGAGCAAATTGTGCCAAAAGAACCATAGTTCTGTATGTAAAAAATCAAACTGCTCCAAAAACAAACTCAAAGTGATCATAGGTCTAAAAATATAATAGCAAAAACTATACATCTAGGACAAAATACAGGAGAAAAATCTTCGTAACCTATTTCTTAAACAGAAAAAGGAATACATGGAAATAGATATAATTGACAAAACACAACTTATCAATATTTGAAACTTTTACTGTTTATCAGACAGAAATTTTAAAAAATAAAAGGGCAAGTGCCATATTATGAGAAAATATATGCAAAACAGATATCTGACAAAGTTTTTGTGTCCAAAGTATTTTTTAAATTCTGCATACACCTGCAGTCTCAGCTACTGGGAAAGTTGAGGCAATCTGAGGATGCAGTGAGTTCTGATCACACCACTGCATTCCAGCATGGGCAACAGAGTGAAAAACTGTCTCCAAAAATTAAAAAAGGGAAGAAAAGAAAAGGAAAGAATCTTATGACCTAACAATAATGATGTATGCAACACATTCTTTTTAACACCTCTATGCACAGAAACTAGAAAACGTAAAAGAAATGGATAAGTTTCTGGAAAAATAACAACCTCCCAAAATTCAATCAGGAAGAAATTAAAACCTGAAAAGACCAATAATGAATTCCAAAACTGAATCAGTAATTTTTTTAAAACTTCAATGAGAAAAAGCCCTGGACCAGATGCATTCACAGCTGAAGAATTCTACCAGATGTGTAAAGAAGAGCTGGTACCAATCCTATTGGAATTATTATAAGAAGTCAAGGATGAGGGACTCCCCCAACTCATTCAATGAAGCCAGCATCATTCTGATGCCAAAACCTGGCAGAGACATTAATGAAAAAAGAAAACTTCAAGCCAATATCCCTGATGAACACAGACGGAAAGCTCTTCAACAGAATACTAGCAAATCAAATCCAGCAGGACATAGAAAAGCAGGACAAATCCACCATGATCAAGTACACTTTATTCCTGGGATGCAAGGTTGGTTCAACATATGCAAAACAATAAATATGATTCATCATATAAACAGAACTAAAAACAACAACCAACTATCATCACAACAGATGCAGAAAATGCTTTCAATAAAATTCAGTATTTTTTCATGTTAAAAACCTTCAATGAACTAGATGTTAAAGGAACATATCTCAAAGTAATAAGAGCCATCTATAACAAATCCAGAGCCAACATGATACTGAACAGACAAAAACTGGAAACATTCCCTCTGGGAACTAGAACAAGACAAGGATGCCTACTCTCACTAATCCTATTCAACATAGTTCTGTAAGTCCTAGCCAGAGCAATCAGGCAAGAGAAAGAAATAAAAGACATCCAAATAGGAGGACAGGAAGTTAAACTATCTCTAGTCGCAGATGATACAATTCAATACCTGGAAAACCCTTAGTCTCTGTCCAAAAAGGCTCTTAGATTTCTTTAACAACTCCAGCAAAGTTTCAGGATACAAAATCAATGTACAAAAATCAATAGCATTTCTATACACCAACACTATTCTGGCAGAGAGTCAAATCAAGAATGCAATCTCATTCAGAATACCCAGAAAAAGAATACAATATCTAGGAATACTGATAACTGGAAAGGTAAAAGACCTCTACAATGAAAATTATAAAACACTGCTGAAAAAAATCAGACACAAGCAAATGGAAAACATGCCATGCTCATAGATAGGAAGACTCAATATTGTTAAAATGTCCACACTACCCAAAGCAACTTACATTTTCAATGCTATTCCTATCAAATTACCAATAGCATTTTTCACAGAATTAGAAAAAAAGTATTCTAAAATTCAAATGATGAGACCAAAAAAGAGCCTGAATAGTAAAAGCAATCCTAAGCAAAAATAACAAATCAGGAGGCATTATACTACTTGACTTCAAACTATACTACAAGGCTATAGTAACATAACCAAAACAGCATGGTACTGGTACAAAAACAGACACATAGACCAATGGAACAGGTTGGAAAACCTAGAAATAAAGCCACACACCTACTCTAACTAATCTTTGACAAAGCTGACTATAACAAGCAGGAGGGAAAAAACTCCCTAATCAATAAATGATGGTGGGATACTGGCAAGTCGATTGCAAAAGCACATCAAAAAGCTTATCCACCATGATCAAGTAGGATTCATCCCAGGGATGCAAGGCTGGTTCAACATATGCAAGTCTATAAACATAATTCACCACATAAACAGAACCAAAAACAAAAACCACATTATTATCTCAATTGATGCAGAGAAGGCCTTTGACAAAATTCAACAGCCCTTTATGCTAAAAAAAACCTTCAATAAACTCAGTAGTGACAGAATGTATCACAAAATAATAATAGCTATTTACAACAAACCAACAGCCAATACCACACTGAATGGGCAAAAACTGGAAGCATTCCCTTTGAAATCTGGCACTAGACAAGGATGCCCTCTCTCACCACTCCTATTCAATATAGTACTGGAAGTTCTAGCCAGAGCAATCAGGCAAAAAAAAGAAATAAAGGGTATTCAAACAAGAAAAGGGGAAGTCAAATTGTCTCTATTTGCAGACGACATGATAGTACATCTAGAAGACCCCATCATCTCAGCCCAAAATCTCCTGAAACTGATAAGCAACTTCAGCAAAGTCTCAGGATACAAAATCAATGTGCAAAAATCACAAGCATTCCTATACACCAGTAACAGACTTAAAGAGAGCCAAATCAAGAATGAACTGCCATTCGCAATTGCTGCAAAGAGAATAAAATACCTAGGAATACAACTCACAAGGAACGTAAAGGACCTCTTCAAGGAGAACGACAAACCACTGCTAAATGAAATAAGAGAGGACACAAACAGATGGAGAAACATTCCATGTTCATGGTTAGGAAGAATCAGTTTCATGAAAATGGCCATATTGCCCAGAGTAATTTACAGAATCAACGCTATCCCCATCAAGTTACCAATGACTTTCTTCACAGAACTGGAAAAAAACACCTTAAACTTCATATGGAACCAAAAGAGAGCCCCCATAGCCAAGTCAACTCTAAGTAAAAAGAACACAGTAGGAGGCAGCACACTACTGGACTTCAAACTATACTACAAGGCTACAGTAATCAAAACAGCATGGTGCTGGTACCAAAACAGAGATGTACACCAATGGAACAGAACAGAGGCATCGGAAGCAACACAACATATCTACAACCATACAATCTTTGATCAACCTGACAAAAACAAGCAATGGGGAAAGGATTCCCTGTTTAATAAATGGTACTGGGAAAACTTGCTAGCTATGTGCAGAAAGCAGAAACTGGACCCCTTCCTGACACCTTACACTAAAATTAACTCCAGATGGATGAAAGACTTAAACATAAGACCTAACACCATAAAAACCCTAGAAGAAAATCTAGGCAAAACAATTCAGGACATAGGAGTAGGCAAGGACTTCATGACCAAAACACGAAAAGTGTTGGAAACAAAAGCCAAAATAGACAAATGGGACCTAATCAAACTCCACAACTTCTGCATGGCAAAAGAAACAGTCATTAGAGTGAATTGGCAACCAACAGAATGGGAAAAATTTTTCGCAATTTACCCGTCTGACAAAGGGCTGATATCCAGAATTTACAAGGAACTCAAACAGATTTACAAGAAAAAAACAAGCCCATTCAAAAGTGGGTAAAGGATATGAACAGACACTTTACAAAAGAAGACATACATGAGGCCAACAAACATATGAAAAAATGCCATCATCACTGGTCATTAGAGAAATGCAAATCAAAACTACATTGAGATAGCATCTCACGCCAGTTAGAATAGCGATCATTTAAAAATCTGGAGACAACAGATGCCGGAGAGGATGTGGAGAAATAGGAACACTTTTACACTGCGGAAGACAGTATGGCAATTCCTCAAGGACCTAGAACTAGAAATTCCATCTGACCCAGCAATCCCATTACTGGGTATATATCCAAAGGATTATAAATCATTCTATTATAAGGACACATGCACACGAATGTTCATTGCAGCACTGGTTACAATAGAAAAGACCTGGAATCAACCCAAATGCCCATCGATGATAGA